ATAAGTTATCATGTAATGAGTGCAGAAACTCGTGTTTTGAAGTGCTGCTGTTTGTTGTTTGAATGAACTGAGTTTTGAGAAAGTTCGACGCTTTTAAATCGTGAGTCATGATTGGCTTATGGTGACTTTAGAGAGAAGACATGGCTTGATCACGGTACTAAAACCACATTTTTTTACCTAAAAGGCTCCGTTCTACTGAAAGTTTTTTTTAAAAAAAGCAATAGACCACACTTTCTATGGGTTTACCGGCGTGATAACCCACTTGGGATGTTGGGAGAACACTCGAAAAACTTGTAAATCACTCGCCCTCGGCTCGTGATTTACAAGCTTTTCTCGTGTTCTCCCAACATCCCGCGCGGGTTATCACGCCGGTAAACCCATAGAAAGTGTGGTCTATTACTTAAATAAGATAAGAAATATCAAACGCTCATCACTTCAAGCTCAGTTTGGAAGTCTCTTGAAACGCCGTGAGTCGAGATAAGCTTCAAAGCGAAGTGAAAGCACATCTCGGTGCTTCGTGAAGGAAAAAAAATCTGCATTATTGGTTAATGTAGGAGCTTCGAAATGCCTGGTCCTTCCATCGAATCTGCGAACAGTACAAGCACCTGGAATGTGGGAAATTGGTCACAAAAAGGCTTTGTAAAGGGAATAAAAATAACTGCTTTCGTTTTTCTCATGTTGTTGTCTAGGGTGGACTATAATCAAAGAATGACGTTTACATGTACAAGTAATTATTTGATCTTTAAGGTGGCTCGACTGGATTTTTTGGGGTTGATACCTCCCCAGTTTGAGCATTAACTACGTCGGCATGAGTAAAGATATGGAAAAAAGGTTACCCCAGCTGTATTATATAAAGATGAAAATTTCTTATGATCTGGGTTTTATTGTAATCGGAGTCGCCATGGCAACGTAATGACGCCATTAAGTTTTTCATTTATCTTTGTGTTTCTCTGTACAAAGAGTTTTTTGAAGAAATCGCTTAAGGGAGTATGTACCTGCCATAGTTGTCTCCACTATGGCAAAGTTTAAACAAATTCTATGAGAGCGTTTTCGAAATATTTTGAAATGCAGTTTTAAGAATCATAAAAACAGTGAAATAGCATGCTAGCCACACAATTCGCTGATATTTTAAGAAAATGATAAGCTTTGGGAACGCGGCTTCATCTCATAGTGGTTTGATTCCATTGAAAACTGCATACAAAAAAAAGAGGGGAATTGCTCTGGGCGATCGCGAGTACGAAGAATTTTATTAACTTGCATTCAGCTACTTTTGATACAGTTTTTGGACGTAATTTGGTCCATGCCTAAAAATTTCGCGTTTTTCCAAAAACCGCTCGATAAAGTTTTTTATAAATTCGACAATCCCGAGATCAATCGTCAAGAAATATTCCCTGCAAGTTTCAAGAACATTGAAAACAGGGAAGGCTTTTAAATAGGGCCTCAAATATAGCCAATTTTTCCCCCAGATTTTGTGTTTACAAGTGAGCGTCCTCATTATTCACTGGCATTGTTTTCAAGTTTCATATACACGTGCACATTAGAGTTTAGTGATATAAAGGCTTGAATTGTTTAATTGTTGTTTCTGTGATGTTATAACCCGAGTAAGATGAGCCAATTATTTGCATATTCCGGATATTTCTTCGGAAAGTAATCGAGAGTTCTTTTTGATTCAAATTTATATCTTTTGCTGGTTGTGCACGTGCTGGTTTTCTCGTGTAGTGGTTTGGATGCAACTTTCAGCCTCCCTTTCATGTTACATTCATTTTCACTTTTGTGGATTTTTAAAAACATAGCTATAACTCAAGAAGTATACCACAATTTGAAACTACGCACTACCTGCCCTTACCAAACCATATGTATTTTGAAACTGATTTTAAAGTGTTTAAAATGTATTTTCAGTATTTGAATACTATTTTCCTATATTTTAATCCTATTTGACAAAAAAATTTAAATTTTCGCCCCTGTTTGGAATATATCTTAAGTGTAGTTAAATTATATTTCATCAAAAGGAAAACCTCTCTCATCAATTTACAATGTATTTTGTTTAATAAATATGATTAAAATAGGGTATTTCAAATGTATTTTGGGCATAGAACCACTAACACTGTTACAAACAGAGTTCAAATAGACTATTTGAAATATGTTTTAAGGGCTTAAATGCGACGGTTTTTTAAATACTGTTAAATAGGGTGCTTTAACACTGTTTTGAGTTGCATCTACAATGTATTTTGAGGCGCATCCACTCACAAAGTTACAAACATAATTCAAATAGAGTATTTAAAATATGTTTTGAGAACCTAAATGCTGACCGTATCTTAAATACTTTTAAATAGGGTACTTTAACACTGTTTTGAGTTGTATCGAAAATGTATTTTGAGACGCATCCACTCACAAAGTTACAAACAGAGTTCAAATAGACTATTTGAAATATGTTTTAAGTCCTTAACTACTGACCGCATTTCAAATACTTTTAAATAGGGTACTTAAACACTGTTTTGAGGTCTATTTGAATTGTATTTTGGGCACACAACACTCTGACTATAAAAACAGATTGTACATAAAATATTTAAAGTCTGCTGAAAGACATCAAATGCTGACCTTATTTTAAATACTTGAAAATAGAGTACTTATTACTTATTATTATTGAGGTGCAATATTGTAATGTATTTTGGGATACTTATACTCAGACTATAAAAGTAACAATTGCACAAAGTTAATTTTTAAGCCTTCATCGTGTCACGAACTCATAAATGACTCAAAACAAGCTGTCATATTGTGGACCGGATTCTTCTCTCAATAAAGCTCGAGGCGGAGCCAAAAATTAAATCTCCCAGCAAATCAAAAAAGAAATGAAAAAAAGAGAAGAAAATTAGGAATAGATTTTAGCTTTGACTGACAACACGTAACTGTGACAGTGTGCCGATAAAGGATCAATCCGTTCCTCAATGTTCATTACCTGCAAGCTCTCTGCGAAAATCTCCGCCTAGATTTTAGCCGTGATTCAATTAATGCAGCTACGGGACATTCCATAAGTTTTAAAGAAAATTCTTAAAATCACATTTTAATTTTCATGTAGAAATTTTTCGCAAACAGCCGAAGCCGCGGGCCGAGAACCGGATGCACGCGGTCAATTGAGATTTGTCTAAAATAAGTCCTTGAAATTTCATAATAATTAAAACAAACTATCCAAGCTAAGATCTCACCTCGTATATATTGCACTAAGAAACAACGCTCAGATCTGAATAAACTCCGACATATGGTTATCTTTCTCTCATAGACTATTCCGCACATGCATGGCATATTATTTTTGAGATGTCACGCGCGACTGAAATCACGACTTCGCGCCGCGGTGATGTGACAAATGCACGTGATAAGCAAACCGTCCTTTGTCCTTTGCTCATTTCAAATTATTGAACCGGCGGTTGCTCCCGGGCGGTTGCTGTGAGCTTAAATGCGCTTGATTTTACTGTTTGTTACGATCTTACAAAAGTACACTCCAACTCTGCGGATTGTCGGAACACGTAGATGTTGCTTTTATCACGAATCAAAAATGGTTATGACTCCTCAGCGACTGTTATGTACTTTGAAAGGTTCTGGTTCAGGAGAAGAGTCCAAGAGTCTAATTGTAAGTATTAAATATGCAATGTTACTAAGACGCTTAGATATACGCCATATGAGAAACAAATGAAGGGTAGTAAACATTTATATAGTCGCGCCCGTACGGCAATTTTACTTTTTACAGGATTCCTTGCAGAGACTCGCTGTTTTGTATAAATGATCTCAGTCACTTGATGTCACGTCACCGGCCTCTTTCATTCTCGCGTAAATTTATTCGTATGCTGTTCTTTATCAGCCACTAATTAATGTTCAGGCGTAGCCTGCATTAAGCTTCTGATGATATTTGAGTAAAGCCGTGAATATAATAAACAATGTAAGTTACATGCATGTAGATTAATATTTACCGGTAACGTCAGTAACGTTATACCCTTTTGAAGCCAAAGGTTGATAGCCTGTGTACATACCCCCCCTCCCCTCCGAGTTTTATTGAGGGAAGGGGTCTGTACACAGGCTAAAGATTGATTTGAGCATTTTAAACAGGTTAAAACGCCTTTAAAAGCAGTCGAAAAATACATTAAAAATACACTTTTTACCCTATTTAAAACCTATTTCACAAAACAGGTTAAAAACAGTTTTCAAAAACAGCTTAAAAATACATTCAAAACAGTCTTGGATTTGGTAAGGGTGGCCAAAAAGAGGGTGCTTTAATCTATCAAAATCCATCGTCAAACCTTTTCTTTCCTCTGGGTTAAGCAAAACGGCCCTAGCTCCCAGACTATTAGTTTAAAGAAGGCATAACATGAAAATTGAAATACAATGGAAGCTCACGAATATAACGAACCTCTAGATAACATAACCTTTATTTAAAGAGCTGCATCGACTTGTGTGTAGGTATGCCTTGATTGCGATTTTTCGCTTTTTTCGTAAATTTGGTAAAATCAGACTTGCTATCGTCAGACTTGCGATTCTTGGGGGAAAAATCGCAATTTTTGCAGCTGCGTTCAGACCTGGACATAAGTGCACAGTGGTTACTGTGTGAATCTCAAGTCATTTAATAGTCTATCTTGGTTAAGAAAACTACGTAAAACATAAAACGAAAAATGCAAAATAACGTAAGCTTAATATTCCAAATATGACTAGACAGCTTGTCAAAAAAAAACATAACAGGTGTATATTTTGCAAATTAGACGAGGAGAAATGTGTGAAAAGAAATAAATCAAAACAAAATTACCTAGGTATATTAAAAATCAGTATATATCAACTAAGGTAGTACAAGTTTTGAACTGTAACTTACAGGATTCAATATTAAAATATTGTCAAATTAAAATAATTATGCTTCTTTTTTAGTGTCTCGGTTTATAAAAAAAAAATTACTATCCTGGCTTAATCAGTGTAACATTTATTGACTGTCAAGCTTGAAAATGAATACGATGCCACAGTTTTTAGGTTGTTTCGTAAAATGCTTCTACTTCGTCTGGAGTAAAAGTATAAGTGCCTGCCAGAAATGTCTGAGTGAAAGTGCTTCCATAGCTGTACCCACTTGGTGCGCTGTAAGTATAGCCAAGGTTGACATAGTTACTGCTACTGGATGACGCGTAGTCGGCAATGTAAATGTCATGGCCCCAACCGAAAGTAGGTCCATAAGACGAGCAGTCGTATATGGACTCTCCTCCAGAACTATACTTCCCTCTCTGAGGCAGTTTCACAGGCGCCCATCCTGGATTGTTAACCAGTGAGAAAAGAAATGCCTGGGAATCATATCGAGTCTGGCAGCTGGAACCTGTTGGGAAAATAGAAGATGAAAAGGATGATCCGATGCACAGACTTCGTTCAAAAATTCGAATTCATGCAGACAAGAAAATATACTGATACTACTAGTAATAATTAACTCGCTTTTAAGTAGTAAAGATTTCAGTCTCTTGAAAAGTGTGTTTTTAATACTAAGTTTATTCTTACTTAAGTACCGTAAAATTCCTTCAATTCCCTTGGTAACTTCCCTCAATTAGGAAGTAAAACAAAGCAAAAACGGTAACTTAACTATAAGGAACTATAAGGCTAGTCCAATCGATTTTGAAACGCAAATTTCCCTACGTAGATAAGCCCTTCCAAAATTAAACCCCTCAAAAAGGGCCTTTGAAAAATATAAGTTCCGGAGCTTATTTTCGGAATTTTACGGTATTTACTTTTGGATGGAAGAAACGGGTACGATAAAAGGGATTAACATTAAGTTATCGGGACCCCGATATAAAGGCTTGAATTGTTTAATTGTTGTTTACTACAACCGAGTGGAACCTCGATATAACGAACCTCTATATGACGAATTTCTGATGTAACTAGTGATTTTCTCTACCCGGCAGTTATTGTAAAATATATGGAAAAGAATCTCGATAAAACGAACCTCGTTATACAGCGAACAAATTCTGCCGGTCTCTTGATCCTTCGTTATATGCCGAAGTTCCACTGTATTTGCAAATAAACTTCCGAATTACTCCCTGCCGCCTTGGTCGTAGTCCAGCTAGCTTATATACGCTAAGGTACGGTTTTCCTTTTTGGCGACAAAGTACATGAAGTAATTGTACTTTAAGGGAAACTTGAATGGGTGAAAAAAGAGATAAACAATGTCTTGTAAAAGTTGACACTAGAGAAGCTCCCGTTCTGTATGTTGTTGCACATGGTTGATAGAATCCTCGGTCTTTGTGTAGCTTTTTTAAATACACCTAGTCATATCTGATGATTTTCACTCATAAGCCATAATTATTATCACCATCATCAACATCATCATCATCATTTCCTTTATTTAAACACAAAAGACAAAGCTCAATTCTTGTGGGGCCGTGTAAAAAATGATTACGATGTAGAACTAAAATGAAAAATAAAAATAACATTTATTACATACAATATACAACTAAAAAAAAAATCTCAAAAAGATACGACAGGATTCTAAAAAAAGATACAAAATGTATTTAAAAGATTTGAAATGAATTTACGTTAATCACCTATAAATAATTGGCTACGACTTTTAAAACATAAAATAGTGAAAAGAAGAAAGTCTAAAATCGTGGTAGTGCCTGGGCATCGACTGGACTGACTGTGCGGTAAAATAGAATTAAGTGTGCGTCATACAACAGGTGAGATAGAAACGGAAAACGCAAGATTCCATGCTATTATTCAGGTTGATATCAGTATACGTAGCTTTGATCAAAATGCTCTCTCAGTTTATTTTTTTTGTGTGTGTGAACTATAACAAGAAAAGACTTGATTAGAAGAGGTAATTCCTCCCCCCTAACTTGCACTTTTTATATTACCTACAGTTTTCATTTTAGTTTTAAGAGCCGAAAAGGGAAGCCCTAGGAACTTAAGCCTTGACCAATTCACACTCGCGTTCTAGTCATTTTTATCATTTTTTTTTATATTACAACGGCACTTGAGACAATAGTGCCGAATACTTTGGCTGAAAAACACTTTAGAGAGGAACAACTCTGAAAAGAAAATACCTTAGCACAGAATTTAATTCTCAGCGAATTCGCAGCACGAATATGATGTAAGTTTAGTTTTATAGGGTACGTGAACAAAAGACAACGATTTTCTTTTTCTAATATTTGGTACAGACTTTTCGAATTTAAACCCAGAAAATTTCACCTCCATTTGGCCAATTGACCGAATTGGAATAAGGGCGATAAAGTTTGAAACAGTGTGAAGGCACTTTTTTAGTCCTTTTCGTGGTAATAACATTTTCTACTTCAAATAATTCGTTAGACAATTTTACATGCTGATATGCCCAGTTTTGGAAAAAACAAACTACTTACCCCATGAGAGGCTGGTGTAGCCTCCAAATATGTATTTCCCGCCGACTCTTATGACTGTTACAGTTGGTCCTTTGTTGTTACAACGGCTATGAAAAGTACTGGCAGCCCAGCCGTCCACGGACGCCCGCCAACAACGCTTCCATCGTGAAGATTTGCTCTGAGCAACTGGTTTGAGCCAGGTGCTTAAATATTGCAAGTAGTTAGCATCATTTCCCACAATAGTAGACTGTTTCAAACCCCCTACAAAAGTTAGAGACAAAGTTATCACTAATTTATTTACTTAGGTTCACCAATTCTTGGCAGGGTCACCGCAACAGCGCGCGGCGCTTATTACCGAGGACCCATAACAGTCCCGGCCACCATGGGAGATAGACCACAACACCGGAGCATGCGTCCCCTACTCTTTACGAACAGAGCACGAGTTGTTTTAAACGGTTAGAAGACGGGGCCTACGGTTTATCGTCCATGTCTGAGAAGACTAAAAAGTTTAACCATTTGAACATGTCTTTTCAAAGGAAACAATTTGTTCTCTCAGTCAGTTTGTACATGGTGGGTTTCTTGTATAACGCTAGTTTCTCTTCGCAATTAATAGCCTGCTCAGTCTTTTCAGTGTTTCGTACATTTCTTTACACGCCCCACCCATTTCTCCGCATTGATGAACTATCTCTTTGCCAGGAGCTCCACGCTCCTACCGCCTCCGGCTGGGTCTCCCATATATTATTAGAATTACGGGCATTGTTTGCTGATGGCTCCAGTGAGAATAGATTACGATAAATCAACTTGCTGTTCATCATTAACATGAAGTGCTGCAATTTTATATCTGATCATACTTGGGTAATTGAGCTCGCACTCAAAGCCGTCTCCAAAGTAGCCTTGATCACAAGTGCAATTAAATGAACCTCGATAATTTGTGCAGCTGGCGACTTGATGGCAGTAATACTTGTCCCTACTGCATTCATTCAGATCTGTTCAAAATAAAGATAAAAAACTATATATTTATCACGATTAACACACCAAAATGCGTTTTGTTAGGTAGACTTTCTTCTATCTTGTGCGATTCTAAACTTATACATCACATCTTACCTTTCTTACAAGTATACTGATGACAGTCACTGCATTTTACGTCATTCCATTCATATTTATATTCAACACCAAGTGTATGCACACAGTCTTCATCCCGAAAATTGTTCGGTTGGTTTTTAGCCCAAGCTGTAAAGCTCCCAGTACCACGATCTGCCCAAGTAAAGGAGCCCTCTGTAAAAATATCATTCAATCCCAGCCAGGATTTTGCACCATTGTGTAGATGCTGTAAAAACACATTTTCTTCGTTATTTTGGACATCGACAAGAACCGAGTGTTCTTGTCGGCATTTATCCAGTGCTGTGGTCCAATTTTGACAAGTGTTACTGGTGAAATAGCAAAAGCCGTTGAAATAGTTCCAACCAGGTTCACAGATGTCTGCGAAATACAGATAAGGGTAAGCGTCAAAAATATATACATTCAAATAAACTACCGGATTGATAAATCCTTAGCAGCATCTCACCCGCAGTACTGTTAGGAGCGAGATGCGAAAATGTTTTCCAAAGCTTAATGGTTTCAAGGTACTAGTAAGATATTATTGGATAGAAGACTAGCGATAGGGATATACCAATCGCATAGAGATAAAATATATCGAACTCTTATGTACAGAGTGTACTATTTCAAAGAAACACAAAATTCAAACGATTGTTTTAAGCATGGTGCTATTAATTTGTAGCAAAGTCTTTTATCCTCGTTATTTATTCTTTAAGAAAACTTTTAATTAAACGGTGAAATTCTTAGAGGGGTAAGGAAATTATAACTTGAAAGAATTTCAAATACTTTTTATTTCAACAGGTACACTCTCTTGACTCCGCCATGACTTGCAAAACCATCAACTTGCATTGTGTTATTAGTTTAGGGCATTTCCAAAGTATTTCCAGATGAATCCAGTAACAAATAACTTTTCTTTTTTCATTTGCTAAAAACTACTTCATAAATGATCTCAGTAGTATTACAGACCTGTGAGCACGGTATAACCGACGGACAAGGGGTCATATCTCGTCCCGTATAATTCCTTGACACAGGCTCTGAATCCAGAGGTATTCATGTTCTGAAAAAAAATGATAATAAGCACTCAACGTAGTTTAGTACAGCTAAAATTGTAGTCATAAACAACTGAATTAACAGGAAGAGAAAACCAGAATATTTTTAAAACGTTCTCCTACGTCTTCTTAATATGTAACATAGAGATGCGAAGATTCGCCGTGAATTAACACCGTGGTTTGATGAAAGTAATTAAAGAATCCTTTAGAAATAACAAAGGTATAAAAAAAATATATGGTGAATTAATGTTCAAGATGAAACAACAACAACATGATATTAATTTGAGGAGGACTCGGAAAAAAATCCGAGTCCCAGATGGGATTTGAACCCACGACCCTCCGTGATCTAGTCGGATGCTCTAACCACTTGAGCTACTGGAGACTCTATGGTGAGCAAGGGTCAATTTGTGGGACTCGACTGGAACCGCATCACGCGGCTACACAGCCAAGTAATGATAGGCACACAAGAAGTGAAGAACTCACTAACAGCATCGCGCTGTCACCTTAAAGCATATCCAAGATGCGGCCAACCAACCTCCAAAGTGAGTATATTAAAGATGAAACAACAACAACATGATATTAATTTGAGGAGGACTCGGAAAAAAATCCGAGTCCCAGATGGGATTTGAACCCACGACCCTCCGTGATCTAGTCGGATGCTCTAACCACTTGAGCTACTGGAGACTCTATGGTGAGCAAGGGTCAATTTGTGGGACTCGACTGGAACCGCATCACGCGGCTACACAGCCAAGTAATGATAGGCACACAAGAAGTGAAGAACTCACTAACAGCATCGCGCTGTCACCTTAAAGCATATCCAAGATGCGGCCAACCAACCTCCAAAGTGAGTATATTGAAGATGAAACAACAACAACATGATATTAATTTGAGGAGGACTCGGAAAAAAAAATCCGAGTCCCAGATGGGATTTGAACCCACGACCCTCCGTGATCTAGTCGGATGCTCTAACCACTTGAGCTACTGGAGACTCTCCTCAAATTAATATCATGTTGTTGTTGTTTCATCTTCAATATACTCACTTTGGAGGTTGGTTGGCCGCATCTTGGATATGCTTTAAGGTGACAGCGCGATGCTGTTAGTGAGTTCTTCACTTCTTGTGTGCCTATCATTACTTGGCTGTGTAGCCGCGTGATGCGGTTCCAGTCGAGTCCCACAAATTGACCCTTGCTCACCATAGAGTCTCCAGTAGCTCAAGTGGTTAGAGCATCCGACTAGATCACGGAGGGTCGTGGGTTCAAATCCCATCTGGGACTCGGATTTTTTTCCGAGTCCTCCTCAAATTAATATCATGAATTAATGTTCGAAATTTTATCCAAAATATCCTTTTTACCCTGATAAGGGGCACGGCAGTGGCACAAATGAGTTATGAGGCCCAGAAGGACGGAGCTAAAGATCCCTTTTGATGAAGAAAGCAGCCAAATGATTGGAGCAAAGTTTCGTGTCCAAGGAAACAGCTCTAAAGTAACGTTTAAACCCGCACAATCAGATCTGAAGTTCCAGACCACCGCGCGCGGCCCCTACTGATAATTTAAAGATATTATTTTGTACCGACACCATAATCGTATTCGATAATTAACGTCAAAAGGAAGCCAATAAGCAATCTCAACTTCACTCGGCAGATTTTTGCGCCACACCTATTATCAACCAATACATCACCTCAAGCAAGCGTGTGTCTCTGTTCAGTTATATCTTTTGTCGAGTTTTGGTTTGAAATTTGTTTGCCTTGATACATCCCCAAAATACTCCCCAATTACGGAAAATTTTACCTCGATCCAAGTTGTAATTCCGTTGTGATTCGGTGCTGAATTCCCAGATGCCGTCGTGCTGTGATTGGCTGAGACAAGAACTGTTGGAGTCGAGTTATAAGCTCTCGTGAATGAAACGAACTGCCGTGGAAGAGAAACGTAAAACGTTAAACACTGTTCCTTAATCACTAAAAGCTTCAGTTCCCATCAATGTGTTTATTTTTGAAGTCCCAATTGAACAAGCAATATTTGCGATTAATCATTTTAACAGAACAAACTGCCATTTTGATGTCTTTGTATGTCTGATATAACAATATAAAAAGATATAAGAACTTTGTTTAAGTGTCAAACGTATATGGCTAATTGGGGACACATCCAAAATTACATAATAATAATAATAATAATAATAATAATAATCTATGATAATACTAATTATAATGATATATTCTAATTGGGCACACTAATCTAAAATACATAGTAATTCATAATAGTACATATTAAAATCTTAAAAATCTTAAAATCATAAAATTAGGATCTGCAAAGGTCACAACAGTCACAGCTATTTTCTTCTAAATTTGATCCGAAGATTACATTATTATTCCGTTCTTGTTACAGGCCTCCGGATTCAGACCCTAGTTGGGTATATTTATTTAACACCTTTCTAGATCAAGTCTGCGATCAGTTTCAAAATATAGTAATTTGTGGTGACATTAACTTGCCGAACATCTCCTGAGACTGCGTGGATAGCGCTTCAGGTGATAACCAACTGCCATTTATCGAGGCCTTACATGACCACTTCTTGACGCAAATTAACCACATACCGACTCGCGGTAGTAACATTCTTGATCTAGTGATAACAAGTGCCCCAGAACACACCAAAGTGACCGAGGTGTTCTCACCTGATAAAGCCGATGTGTTTACGGATCATTGTGTAGTCCCGTTTAAGTACAATTCTTTTGTTAATGCGTCCTCACACCCGCGCAAATATGTCCACGAGTACGCAATTGGTGATTTTGAAGGTTTGCGTGAAGCTCTCTCAGCAATCAATCTCTCTTCTATTGTGGGCCATAACAATATAGATGATGACGGGCGGTGCTGGAAGGACTTATTACTAGCTGCTGTCAAGGACTTCGTGGCATCGAAGAGACTGAAAGGCCGTAACCCGGTTCCTTGGATAGATAGTAACATTTTAAACCTAATCAAGAAAAAGAACTCAGTTCGCCAAAAACTTAAGTCACATCCGAACGCCGGCCTGAGGGATAAGTTTAAGTCTCTCCGGGCGCAATTCAAGAAACTGCTTCGCGAAAGCCTTGATCACTTTTACGACTTCATTGACACTGGCTTTAGATTCAATCCCAAGCACTTATGGTCAATTTGAAGCTTAACTTCAAATCTCATCCCATCCCAGACCATGTCTCCATGGTAACCGTCCCAGACTCTCCCGCTGACCAGTCACAAAACCCTTCAAGATTAAGTGCTGATACACCTGCGGGAATAGCTGACCTGTTTAACAGGTTTTTTGCCTCTGTATTTACTATCGACAGCGCAGTGGAGAAGACAGCGTGCACACGTTCGGACACTGTTATATCCGATCTAACTCTCAATGAGTCCAAGTTTCTAGCTGCACTCAAAGCACTAGAAGTCGGTAAAGCCACAGGACCGGACCAAATCCCTGCTAAATTGCTCAAACAGACTGCCTCAGTGATTGTTCCTTCCTTATGTAAGATCTTCAACAAATCACTGCAACTAGGGTCTCTCCCGAGTGACTGGAAACTAGCTAACGTCGTGCGTGTCCACAAAAAGGGTGCAAAAGACCACGAGGAAAATTACTGCCCCATCTCTCTACTCCCAATAGTGTCCAAGCGCTGTGTGTTGAATAGCATCAAGGACCACCTGTACCATGTAATTTTACCTAAACAACATGGTTTTTGTACTGGAAGATCGTGCGTCACCAACCTGCTTGAGGCTGTTGACCACATTGGTTCACTAATTTAGATAGTGGCAGCCAGGTTGACACCATCTACTTTGATATGTCTAAAGCTTTCAACAAAGTCAGTCACAGGTGCCTCGTCCATAAGCTAATCCAGGCCGATTTCGGTGGCACCTGCTTAACTGGTTCTGCTCTTACCTGTCAGGTCGACGCCAACGCGTTACGGTACTCGGCGCCACTTCAGAGGATCTTCCTGTTACCTCTGGACCAGCCCTCTTCCTCTTATACGCCAACGACCTTTTCAAAGTCATCAGTTCTATTAGTCGAGTATTGATGTTCGCTGACGACACAAAAATATTCAGAGAGATCAAGACTTTGGGGGATGCCTCTTCTCTCCAGAAAGACCTTGGTAAGCTTGCAACTTGGTCGCAATCATCCGGTCTCCTTTTTAACGAAGCTAAGTATAAGGCGCAGCACATAACAAGGAAAAAAAGGCCGATCTTATCCTCATACAAACTCAACAACACCGCACTTGAATTATATGTTGCAGAAAAAGATCTGTGCGAATGGATTAGTAAGGATCTGACATGGTACAAACAACTAAACGAACAATCTTTGCGTGGTCATAAACTACTTGTATACTTAAAGAGGAACACGAGATTCACTCTTAGAACCGACGTAAGAAGAACGCTATACCTACAATTGTAGCCCTAGTTAGGCCAGATTTGGGGTACGCCACCCAAATTTGGGCCCCGCAGTCCATCGAACTCATCGTCAAGCTTGAGCGTGTCCATAGACGAACGACTAAGTTTATGTTAAAACTGCCTTTTAATGTAAGTTATAAGTCTCGTTTCCAAACTCTTAATCTAATACCTATTTGTTACTGGCATGAACTTTTAGATGTAACCTTGTTTTTCAAATTGACACACGGTCTTGAACGTGAACTCCTCCGTCCTTCCTGAAGTTCGCAAATACGGTAGACGCACTAATCCTCAACCAGCAATGTTAATAAATACATAATTAACAAATGTAAAACTACTACGTACCAGAAATTCTTTCTCATTAGAACTAGTGGAGTTTTGGAATTGTTTTACTGGATGAAATAGATTTGAGCTCATCGACCTTAGCTTCCTTTAAATCGGTTATTTTAGGTCCAAAGTAACGAAATGAATGTTTGCCGTAGGCTACAATATTGAATCTGGTATGTAAATGAAAGTCCTTGTTTCGCAGAGAATACCTCGAATCATTTAAATTAAAAAGTTCTGCTAAGTCGGTAGGGGCGAGGTTGTTCTTGAGTTCATAAGTATTGCTAGATCCTGCAATCTACCATTTTGCAACGTGGGTAGTTCTGATATTTTAGTAGTGTCTGGTAAGAGGCAGACTTCTGTATACCGCTCTTAAGGCACGTTCTTGAAGACGTCCTGGCCTTACAGAAGTGCCATACCAGCTGGCAGTAGGTAAGGTAAGGCAGGATGGAAGACTTATAGAAGACTAGACTTACAGTTGTGCAGGGATCAAGATTGCGCAGGTGCATTAGGATCCCTACTTTCTTACTGACTCTTTCTTACACAGTTCGCTAATATGACCACTGAAGTTCGTTCTGCAATCAATGTGGACGCCAAGTAGTTTGATGTAATCTATGTTTGTAATGACCCTACCATCTATGCTTATATCAGTGTATTAGCCTTCAATGTCAATATTTCTATTATAAAGGATCATCGCCTGGAATTTGTTAGGATTTGGGAGTAGAAAATTATCACGATACCAAGACGCGGCAAGTTGATCTTCCTGCTCTAAGGCTTCCCCTACAGCTGTAAAATTAGTTCCTGAGGTGTACAACTGGTGGTCGTCCGCATAGATCGAAAGTTTAGCGGTAGTTATGGAGCTGGGCAGGTCATTCTGAAATACGTTCCAGAGCAGGGGGTTGAACATTTTGGCGGTTGTTAAAGAATGATCGCGTGAGGTCCAACGCTGAGGACTCAAAACCGTATGCTTCAAGCTTTGTTAGTGTCGGCAAGTGGCTGAGAGAGTCAAACGCTTTACTCATATCAGTCGATAGAATACATACTAGCTCTTTTCTGTCTATTGCTACCTTCCAGTACTCATTCAGACGTAGTAGAGTGGTCTCACAGCTGTGTCCCTTTCTGTAAGCATTGCTTAGGCTAGAAAAGATGTGGTCGAGTTTCACAGTCACCTGTTTACATTGCAGTTGCTCAAACACTTTGTCGATGTTTAAGAGGGACGTTATCAGTCTGTAGTTTTTGACATCTTGTCTTAAAGTATTGTTTAGTGGACCAGCTTCTTTACTTTTCTAGTCACTTTGATCTCTATTGCGTAAAGTGTATATGACTAAAAGTGTTTTGAAAATATAAACAGTGATGTAAGTAAGCGATATATCTGTCAGGGAAAATGCTGTGAACAGCATGCTACTCACTGCTTTTGCAAAGAATTCTTTTCTCACCTGGCAATAAGCATTGTTCATTTTATCCAAAGGTGGGTTCGTATTTGGAAAACTTATGACACCATGTTCGGTGAAAAGAGGCTTGTGCAGTTTAGAGAAGGCAAACCAGTTCTGTGAAAAGAGGTAAAAACAAAAGTGATGCCACCCATCTTGTGACGGAATCGTATTACACCAACAAAAAATTTAAATAAACTCAGCATTTTTAGGCCCCTTTGAATCTAAGTATTTTGAACTCTATGAAGTTGTGACATAACAAAGAGCGCGCAGAGTCAAGAAAAGGATGCAAATCCACATTTTTTTAAGACATCAGGCGAATCACGTAAGAGCGTGAAGAGAGACATAGGGACAAGGAAGACCAATTTGTGTCATGCTATTCAATTCATTTCTTATTATTATTATTATTATTATTATTATTATTATTATTATTATTATTATTTCCGTTTCTTTTTATGTTTTTCTTTCTGCATTTCCTTTCGTTTGACTGATCGTTTGACTGATCATCACTCGCGATCGCCCGGACAATCTTTACTTAGCAATACTTTTTCCTCTTAACGCTAATATATAGAATTAGCCAGGGCTAAAAGCGAAGCTCTGGTTAAAAATACGTGTAAGCAAAAAAAAATTAAATCGTGTAATGCTAAACTGGGGACGACAATGAAAATGGCTTCAAGACTAATAGATCTAATTAGCAAAGAAACAAATTGCACGTGCAGCACACTTTTTCTTCTAATTAGCAAAAAACAATTCAGCACGCATTTTTGTCTTTCCCTTGCCGTTGTTTTGCACGACTACAACGCTGTTTTGTACGACTAAAACGTCAAACTTCCTAGTTACACACTATTTTTATGGAGAAATTGTCGTATGTGCTTACCCAATATTTTGTTTCCAGTGTTCATGTTCGCTTTTATTTTTCACTGCCGCTCATTTTCACCTTGCTGGCCGCTAGCATTTCTCATTCTCTCACCGCCGCTTTGACTTTCCATGTTTTTCTCCTACGAATTTTCAATAACTCGCTCTAGCTCTTTCTCTGTTATCCACGTTAGTGTACACATAAAAAAAGAACGCCGAAAAAGAAAAGACTTTTTTCTTTCTAAAAGTCCGGGCGACCATGTGATTTCCTTCCAAAAAAACCTTGAGTTGCATTTCGGTTCCTATACCTATTGATTGAGTATTTTACATTGGTATGCCTGTGGTGCGGACGGACGGTCGCTCGCTCGGTGTACGGTCACGTGATTACCAAATTTGCTGGGATGGGTAGATTACCACTTTTCCTTAGCTATGGGGCTCCGCCCACGCGTGCGCTTCGCGCGCGGGTGGAGCTCCGCTATTATGTTTAACAAGACCAGCATTCCTCACAAATTTTGTGGACAGTCGCGTTCCAGTTTTTTAAAATCTGACTAAGAACGTACCACAGTGATATCTTGGTGTCTACCGTCAAAGTTTTGCATTTCACGAAGACAGACTTTAACTGAGTCCTTTGTTACGTCTTCAATCCAAATGAGAGCAGCATCATACTCTTTACCAGTCCTCAGGTGCTCTGACGTCACAAGGACTATTGGCGCCTCGGCAAACTTGCCCTGAAGAAAAAGCAATAACAATAATCGAAACAGCTTTTTTTTTAATATTGCTGCAAAATTACTTGAAACTAACCACTAAGTAAGTTCCCATTCTTACTTGTTACCTAATGTTGTTTTGTTAACTAAGTCGCTAAGTCGGTCACAACTTTTTAGAGGATCTAGCAATCATCTCCCCAGTTACCTCGTAATGATCGATTATTTTTTCTTAACTTTGTGTCTCATTTTTCTAGTTCAAGAAAAGTTTTAATATGTTCTTTAACTTAAGATGAGAATTCTTGTCTTTCCACATTCAGTTAATTCAAATAGATAAACAAATATTTGTGTTTTTTTGGTTTTGTTTTGTTTTGTTTTGTTTTGTTTTTTCTTATAAGCTGCTTCCTTGTATCAGATGAGCGCTTCATTTTGTTGAAATCGATGTTAAGGAGGTCTCTCCTTCACAGTTTCGCTCTTGATGTTTTTCTTCTTTTGTTAGGCAGACAAGTCGTGATTAAATCAATCATGTTTTGGCAGGAGCCCATCAAATCAAATTTGATGGGCTCCTGGTTTTTTGCTAAGGGTCACAAGACCCAATTATTTAGTATTTATTTGTTTTGTTTTTTTGCTGTTTTCGGTGTTGTTGTTGTTGCTTTTTTTTTTTTTTTTTTTTCAAGACATGGATTAAAGATGTCACATGAATGAAAGTCTAACATTCGTCATGGAGACCTCAATTGAATTTGCAACAATTGTTTAATTTAAAATGTAAATTCCCATCTCACCGTAGGAAAGGTTACATCTGCGCAGTTGGTACCAGACCACCATTTCTGCAACTCAACCGTTCCCGTCAGTCCTTCGGGTGGTGCTCCTTGATAAGCCACCCAATCAATGGTGGCAAATGGATTCGCGCCTTCTTCTTTCCTCCCGGTTTGCATGACACAGACGGTGAAGTTTTTTGTGTTGATACTTTCTGTCCATGAAGTAACAGCGTCGTGGACTGTCACAGAGTCATTCAGCTTCATGTGATTGACGGTTATTTGAACATGAACTTGTTTATCCGGATAAAACCGGTATGGAGGAAATGTGACTGTCTGACAGTTTGAATCTGACCATTTTGGAACCTGTAGCAGATCTACACGGCCCCGTACAATTGGAAAACCTGTTTTATAATAAATTAAGTACTTTATAAGGAAGCATCACTGTGCTCTTTAAGCATTATCGCTTAGGTAGCTTCCCTAGCTTCCGTTGTAGTGCAACTCTAAGTGGTGAAGGGTGGTGATAAAAAAAGCGCGAAAATGGAACTAAAACTAGGCTGTAACTTGCAATGTCGACTACCTTTCAAGAACGAAATGTGTAGTGGCTGCTTATTATTGCATGCTGGTTTCAGTGCAAAGATAAACATATGCCAGTATAAAGATAAACATATGCCAGTGTATTGGGCCACTGCGCGAAATATTTGATTTTCAGCAAATTCACTCAGCGCTAATAAGGTGCAAAAAAGTGAAAAAGAGGATGAAATCAAGGGCAAAGATAGTAAATACTGCATTTGCTCTCAAATATGCAACTCCATGTAAACTGGTATGTAAATGCGATATTTACTACCTTTGTATTTGATTTCCTCCTCTTCTGCACTTTTTTGCACCATATTTGCCCCGAGCAAATTTGTGTAATCTAATTTTACGCAGAAAAACTAAATTGCAAAACAAAAGAGAATAAAAGATCTCACACAGATCAAACATCGGCTATAGTCTGGGCTTTTATATGCTCGTTTGCCAAATTAGAGAGACGAAGTAGCTTGTTACAGCTGCCTATTGTTGCTTACCCTGCGTAGGGAGCTAAAAGCGAGCTTAAAAGTAACGAAAAGTTATAAACATCATAGCTAGAAGCCAATGTAATTTTGAGCCAACACCTATAATTCTAAACGATCGAGAGCTTAACTGCCAGACTATTTTATGTGGCATATACAGCCAAAAAAATCGTTGAAATTATATTTTGTTACCTTCACAACTTCCTGGGTGATAGACCACATTATTTTCAAGTCCTCTGCAATAGCTTAACTTATGCCAGCATCGGTTGTCGTAAGTTGTTCCGTTCGCAGTGCACACTGGGTCTTTATATGAGGGGCATTGGTCATCGCACTCACACCGAGCGTCATGCGCACTATAGGTCCTGCAGACTCCAAACCGTGGGCAATGCACATTAAGACAAGGATTAAGGTCTGTACCAAGAAAAAAGAGACATAATATTGAGTAGTTATCCATTTGGAAAAAACATAAATGTCTAACATATTTTTCATATTTGAATTAAAACTAAGTTACTGTTCAGTAGTAGTAACATGTTTGCTTGTAGGTACCTCAACTAAGGTTTTTTTATCCTTAGTAGACCTTATTAACGATACCCGCCATCTTTGCACGCGCTTCGGACTGGTGGAATAAATTAAAGCAATGTTACGTGGTTTCTCCGGGGGCAAACAAGGGATAAAGTCAGTAAATACAAGAATGCAGTCGAGTTTGTTTTAATTATCTACACAATAGAAAATTAAGAAGTTTTGACCTTAAAAAAAAACGAAAATTGCAAAATATGGGTGGAAGTGATTTTGAATGCAGTAGGCGACAGTAGAAACCTTCACAGCAAGGAATTATGACGTAAAACTTGTGGAAGTTTACATTTTGCATTTTGCATGACTAAAATCGTCGTCTTATTTTGAGGGAATAAACAAACCCGACCGCGGTTACGCGACTACTCGTATTGGCAATTTTATTACTTGTGTGCCCCCTAATTGCTCTTATCCCATCAATCTTGAAGTGCCTGCAAAGATAGAGTGCAACATGAATAAGGTATATCCGTGTTTGTACTCCAGCGTTTCTTTAATTAATATCATGAAATGTATTCCTACATATAAGAACTTCTAAAAGATATCAATAAAAATAATAACAAAAATGACAATAGTCCTTTCTAGAAATAGTGATCATTACAATAGGAAAATTAATAAACAACCTCCAGTAACAGCGTAGCTGACAATCAAGGGATCATGACTCGATCCTAATCCACTGAGGTCTTTAACGCAGACCTTCATAGATTCTAATCCAACTTCCTACAGCAAAATGTGATAGCACTCATCAGTTACTAGAAAATCCATAATTTCTTCTTGATTTCTACGACGATACCTTTAAGTTATGAAATTTATGGATCAGATCCAAATTATTGGTTTCTTATGGCTTTTACACAGTTTTCACAGTCCTTTTATAAATTTACCAGAATAAACGGATTTCTGCTCTCCCCTGATTGAACAAGAAGCGATATAGACTTTTGGGTCTCAAAGGTGTCGTGAGAGTTCAAGCAAACAATTGAATAGAATAATGTAGCAAAGCACCGAAAAAATCCCTGTTCATTATTATTAACCTCAAGTGACCATCAAGAATATATCCTAGTGAGGAAAACCCCGTTTCATGACGCAATTACTGGCTTCTAAATGAAAAGACGTCTGAGGAACGAGCGCAGAAATTGCGTACTGATGATGTGTCACTACGCAGATCTGGGCACGCAGTGCTTTTGATTGGTTAAGGGAAATTTATTTTGCAGCATGACCAATCAGAAGCACTATCTTGATCTGGGAAGTACATGTCATCAGTATGGAATTTCTGCACTCTTCCAGAGACGCCTTTTCACGGGAAAGCCAGTAATTGCGTCGTGAAACGGGGTTTTCGGGGTTCAGTCCTCATTTTGTGGGAAAACTAGTGGTGGCGTCGCGCGAAATGTCGGGCGGGCTGTTTTCTCAGGTTCGAATAAAAAAGCAAACTTACCTCTAGCCAGGCTGAAATTATATTATTTTCTGGAGGACGACTTCCCTTGACCTTAAGATTATACTCATGATTTACGGAAAGAATCACAATTGGCGATTTGTAAAAGGTCGTATTGAAAGGCACTTCCTGTAAATAAGTAAAAAAAGTCATGTAAGTTAGTATGGATCTGAACGTGCTCACCTCTCCCTCTATTTTTGCCCACCTTCTGTAAAGTCCCCACTTCTAATATTCGCCCACTGTCTACAACGCGAAATTGAAGAGATTCGAAATATAAAATTCTCGCAAAGTCACGAAATTTAAGAATCGCGAAATATGCGCACATCAAAATCGCGAGAAAAACATTTCGCGCTCGGAATTGCCATTTTGGATACAATGTCGATTACTATCGCCTGGTAAGCTTGGGTTTACTGTATTTTAAGTTTTCTTTAGTGTGAACTTAACCACTAAAAAATCAGTGTTCTTTGGCTTGCTAAATGTTCTTGTTAGAACTAAAGTTTTCACCTGACAGAAGCCGTAGTTGTTTTTGGCCGATGGATTTCCACTGTTTGGAAAGATTTCTTCCCCAGTTATTGTGAAATTAAGTTGACTCCCATTTCCAGTGAATGCAAACCAGTCCTGCAGACAAGAAAATAATTTTAATTCGCTACCCTTTTTTTCACAAGACGAGTTGCGTCAGGTTTCGAAACACATTTCCTTTAACAAGAAATAACTGCATGAGACACGGGAGACACGACACTACCTTAATTGCGTCAAAAACGTTTTGGGTAATTGGGTTTCCGGGCTGCCGAAGTGTGGCAAAGTCAAGTTTGTTTGTTTGTTTGTTTGTTTGCTTGTTTTCATCAATTCTATAGTTTACTCGGACATTTTTCTTCACTTACCACAACTGCATCTTGGTGTTTTCCATCAAAGGGCAAGAATTCCCTTAAGCACACTTCAAATCCTCCAGAGTTGACGTTCTCTAACCATAAGTACATAGCGTCATTTGGCTTTGTGCTGCGAGTGTACTTAACAGAGACAAATACACGAGGCTTGGAAGCAAAGCTCTGCAAAAAGATGTTAGATATATGCAAAACTATTGACTGAAAAATAAACAAGCTTCTCGAAAGATAAATCAGCATGAACGTATCCATGAAGTACTTAGCGGCACTTTAATGAAATTAAGGATTTATCAAAGGCTAAGGGGAGCAGATTAATCAAATCTACTTGTCTATTCACATTAACTCAATTTTCTACCCTCTTTCACCTCTTTCTACGAAGTGTTGAAAAGGTTGGTGAATGCATCTTATTTGGCCCATTACTTAAATAAAGTTACAAACAACGTTTCTTTTCGGCCAACTTTGTTAAGTTTAATGCTAAACATTTGATATCATTAAATAAGTAGACTTCTATTTTCCAAATTCCCTTTAACACATCAATACATTCAAAACGGTCACGCATTATTCAATCACTACCTCCAAAGTAAAATGTGAAAATGGCTTATCTTAAGGTGATGGAAGGAAAAGTTTGAAACTAAGCCCGAGAGAAAACTTTAAAAGACTTTTAGCAGTGGACTCTGCTATGAAGAGCAAATTCCGGATATTAATGAGTGATTATTTGTTTTAAAACTACTTTCTGATACTATTTCATTTGTTTCTACTATTTAATTACGTTTTACGCCTTTATAACAAAATTGTATACTTGTTATCAATTATTGGTATCTAACCTGAGAAAAGGCCACCTTCTCACACTTTGTTTCTGTTGTCCATATCCCGCTAAAAGTAACGCTTCCATGCGTTAACATAGGTTTGTCCTGAAACGCTACCCAGTTGATAATTCCAGTGTCATTTGTAGAACCTGTTGCACGCGAGCATAACTGAAATCCAGCGGTACTAACGGACTCTGCCCATACGGCGGAAGGCGAATGAACAACTGAAGACTGATTTTCATGGCTTAATGACACAAAAACTCGAACCTGAAATGCGTTAGGTAAAGACAGGCATCAATGAAAATGAACAGGCGACAACTCCACCCTAGACTATGAGCAGTCTCTCTTTTTTCACAATCCGTCGAGCGAAACGCGCGAGACACGCGTGACCTTGCGCGTGACTAAAGGCGCGAGAATGCCTCCTTCGTTTCTCGCGTCTGCTCGACGCTTTCGCGCGCGTTTACTCCACTCACTAAAATTAATCTGAAGAAAAAGAGAATCTAGCTAATCCACCCCAATCGCCCCCTTCCCTCCCCACACACGTTCACAACCCCCCCCCCATTCCCATTTCATGGAATAGAGATCTTCTATATTTATCTTCAGAATCTTTCGGCTTTTTGTATTTCTTTTGTTCTGTTTTGTTTTGTTCAAAAACACATCCCAAGGATTAGAAGCACTTAAGCATACCTATGCGCACCAAATTAGCTGACGTCAAGGCATCATAAAACCACAAATACTTTGGCAAATCAAAATTTGTAAAGAACATTAGATTTTTTAAGAAGCTTAATGTGGTTCACTTACAAAAGAAAGTTACCCCAAACCCTGAAGATTAGACTATAAGTTTTAATTGCCTAAGGTTTACTTACGGTTCCAGATCCACTAAACGATTGCGGAAATACCACATTGGTGCAGCGTGGCAGTGTACAATGTTGTGGCGCCTCACATCCGCTGTTGCAATTCCATCCTTGACGTGTCTCTGATGCGTTTAGTTTTCCAACTTGATAGGAAATACCTGAAGATGACCAGAGTGTGGCTTGAAATTAAAGAGAGGCGAGGGGCGTGTCTCAGAGCGGCTGTGTTTTAGATGTGGAAATTAATTCCTTGCGAAATATAGTGTGAAGATGGAACTGATCCGTTCCTCTTTATTTATTTTTGTGAATTATAAGCCTTTTTTTCTTTTTCAAGGATTTTGTGAATTTCATTTTCATATAAATAGCGCGGTAAAAACGTAACTTGGCCTAGCTCTATTTAAATACAAAAAAAAAAAAGAAACACAATAAACGACTCAGTCTACCGTCGAGTTGCACAGGACCGAAAAATGCGCTAAAAGAACGCTTTTCATTTGTATCATAGAATGTTTGATTGTCGTTATGTGAAGAAAATTCAGGAAGACGAATTTTACGATATATACTTCAGATAGTTTACATTTAAAATACCCAAAATGCTCTTAATCATGAAATGGTAATGAATAAGTTGGCGAATTGCATATATATCTGGCCAGCTCGATATAGACGCACCCTGAGACATTTGGAGACAAATAATTTTAGGAAAGTAATATCAAATTAAAGAAAAAAAATGCACACTTAGATACCATTCAACTCCACTAGCTACTTTTTTGTTTATTTTCAGTTATTCCACTTGAAAGCAAATCTAAATGTCTTGATTCTGGTCACGTTACACGTGCACAAACGTTATCAGGTGATCTCGGTTCCTTGCACCAAAAGGGTAAGGGGCAATGACAGTTATCGTTGATTGGATTAAAACAGAACTCTACGAAGTAGGAAATCTGTAGATCGGTACCGAGAAGTACGGGAATCATGGGAATGACTGACTCGGAAAAATAAAAATCAAAAATATAAAACTTGTTTAAGGTTTTCTGTTAAATGCGGGTCGCTGAACTGACAGAAATCATTACTATTCCTTCAAAAGTTTGAAATATATTAAAACTTCCGCATTGCGTCAGAATGTGGGTGTGGAGTCTTAAGGACAGGTTTTCCAAAGTCCTCACCCCACTGGCAAAATGTTAGGTTTTGAAATCTTAAAACTGCCAAGTCATGTAAGGATATGAAACATCGAATAAATGTTTATCCCTTTTTTTTCGTGTTTCTTCGATCCGAGTGGTAACCAGACTACAGAGCTGACTGTTCTATTTGTAGATATTTTGACAGAGTTGCGGCAAACAAATAAATCGACCGAATGCTTTAAAATATAGTCATTTTCTTGAGAACATTGCATGTAGAGGATCGCAAATAACGAGATGATAAATACATCGAATCGACTTAACAATTTGTCAGCTCCGCGAGCACTGATTTAGTTACTTTAAAGCGAGATGGAGTGGCGGTTGTTCCCCCACATTTGTAAACAAATCACTATGATGAATTGAAATGATCTAACCTCCAGACATTCTTGCTTTAGTTGAGATCTAGAACAAGTATATTCTCTAAAAAAATGTAAATGAAAGAAAAAGTCTTCGACCGAGTTGAATTGGGTTTCAACAGATTGAAGTTTAAGAATTTTAAAACAATCGCTACTAGAAAAAAGTAACATTTTTGTCAGGTATAAGAACCCTCACATGTAGATTGCAATGGCCTAGGATGAAAAGAAGAGCTGTGTACCTTCTACAGTTGTAGCAAGAATCCCCAGGTTCAGGAGAAAGGCAAAAACGGTAACTTTCCTAAGGTCCATCCTGCTGCTTAATCTAGAGGTAATGGCCTGTCGACAGGTGGGGGTTTTGTTTTATACGCTCGCGTTTAACAAATCAAGGATCCAAATATCCTAAATCTTCTTACCAAGTAAAAACAAGCTGAGTGGGTAATAAAGGCGCTACATGCTGCATATTACAAAAACAACATTTTCTTTGGCTTTTAACGCCGTACGGTATTACAACAGGTACGGGCGTGTACTTTATTATATTGTTAGCTTATAGTTAACTTAATTAAAGCATAAATAAACAATAAGAACAACAAAAGCAAGACCGGTGACTTTTAATTTACCAAAAGTATTTCATCACTACATGCAAACTAAAGAGAACTAAAAATGATACTTTTTGACTGATTTCATATACAATGTAAATTTAATAGAAATGGATTTTCGCTTTGTCCCAAAGTGCAGTCCGAAACTCCCCTGTCTGCAAAAATAGTTCAGATTATCAAATGTCTTTTGAGCGCAATCCTTTCAAAAGCAGTTTCATACATATTCCGCCAGATTTAATGTAATTACTGATTGCAATGGCAACGATTGTTTACAGTCTGTTTCCTAAACTTTGTATTCCCTGTTTAAGGGCAGCCATGCTGGCCAAACCTGGAATGTAACTAAGAGCTGAGTTTTCTTGACCATGTTGACTGAGGTTTTGATACGTGCGGTATGCCACGTCAAGCGTTTTAGAACAGATTACGTTTTCTAAAAAAAAGGGAGACGCTGCAAACTGTCACTTATAATCAACCACAGCGCCGTAGCTAGTATGAGGCCAACCGAGGCACTCGCCTCGGTAAAATTTTGACGAATTTCGTCAATCATTTTTATTTTACATAAGCGATCATCGGATATTTTTAACGCATCATGATATTACAAAGAATTCAGCAATTCAGTCAATATACTATGAAAAAATTACCATATCATCGATCTCAAGGGGCTACGTACGTTAACTCAAATTTTTTTTGAACAAATACTGATCAAAACCATTGGCGAGGTTAACGGTCACCCAGATTATGTAGCTTGTTTCTGATTATTGCTTTTTAAATTCCACTTAAATTAACTCGAAAAAAAGTTACCGAAACGCCCAGAAAACGCTGCAAATCGCATTTCCGAGAGACTAAAGTTCAAAATTTCTCGGGGGGGGGGGCATACCCCCGAACCCCCCTAGCAACTCCCGCCTGCCTCGGTTGGCCGTTTGGTCTGGCTACGGCACTGAACCATCTGCTGTTTTCTTGATCATTTAAAGATATTATTGCATTTACACTTTGTTCGTGATTTAACTTATTAAATAGTTGATGATGCCTCTTTTACTGGGCAAACCGTACTGTCTTTCAAAAAGCCAAGTAAATGTTAAGGGTTTTGGCAATGACACGTACCATCTTGGCGCGACAAGTATGGGTCATGTTCAGAAAGCGTTCGCTCGTCTCATGCAATACCTTTAACGGAACATTAAGGAAAATTTTCTTTCTGCGTCATTTTTCAACAATCAGTAAAGGGTAAGCTGTTGGTACCTTAAATGAGCATTTAACTCCCTTTTAAATCTTCCGGTTTTTTGTTGTTCTTAAAGGGATATGTCGTAACATTTGCTTGCACTCTGTGTGAGGTGCAAGCCAATGTACACAACTGCTACCTTTTAGAAACCACTTAACAGTAGAAGGGCTTAATTAGGATTAATCCCCTAAAAGTAGCCTGCGTGGCAGCTTTAAAACCGGAACGGGGACGCGGGAATTGGGGGCGTGACAGCGCGAGGGGAGCACGAAATTCGAGGAATCTAGCCGCACATGTAGTGAAAAAGTAAAAACTCAGAAGTAAATCATTTTATTAACCACTTGTCAGACAGTTTTTATTTTCGCTTGTTCACATCTTAAACCAGTTTTTGAATAAATAGTAAATTATGGCTTTCAATAATGCCGGTTGCCTTCTAAAAGCGTGAGATTTCTTCACTAAAAACGATAAAAGTAATTATTTTACTGCGCCCGGTATCCAAAGAAAAGTTACCTATCAAATAGTAAATATTTTTTTATTATTCCCGGTAATGAGTCTCTTTTTTTCCACTAGGACTTATCTACAGCTTTAGTTTTTTGACCCAGGTACATCTTAATACCGCCTAATCGACGATTAAGCAGTCTTTAGACTGAAGGAATCACTCTCCCAAGAATTAGCAGAGGAGACCTAAAAATTAGAAAACTAACTCAAACAGTTGTTTTCCACATTTAAAAGGTCTTATTGATTCTTTATTTTTGGTCATATATTATATGCAAGTTTTTTGCGTGACCAGAGAGGATAGTTGACTGATGACACTAACACTGCTAAAGCTCTCTTATGCTGTTTTCAGGTCTCCTGAGTGTCTAACATTAATGGAAACTAAGTATGAAGTCCCATCACGATAAAGTTAACCTGTTAGAGCGAAAAACGAGAGTGAAGAGATGGCCGGCTTACGTTAGTCTGGTGAGCTGAATTCGTCTGTTCGGGCAACTTTTCTAAGGGTGGTTGACCAGTATCTCAATACATTTACTTCCTTATAAGACGATACGCCGAGACACTCAAAAGGCTTTTTCCTTCTTATTTGCTAAGTGCTTTATACCTAGGATTCAGACCTTTAAGGTTAATTATGGAATGTGATGTATAAGCTGCCAGTCGAGACAATATTTTTGTCAGATTTAAAATGCATACAAAATGTACGTTCTCCTGCTCACTAAATAAGGTATTATCATTCAAGTATAGAAGCTTCCCCTAACCAGGTTTAAAACTGCTTAACCAGTACAAGAAAACAAGAACAACAAAACACGATTAATACTAGTAAAATCATCAGGCACCAGTAAACTGTTTCTAAGAGGAACCTTTGGGACGCGCACTTACTGTTTGTCTAAGGCTGATGTCCGTCTTATTAACAGTCAAATAAAGGGATCAGAGAAAGGAACGGACCAACTGTAGATGTCGTTTTTACCGAGTACCCTGTACCAGAGACAGAAGAAAGGCCACATAAAAGTAGAAAAGAGCTTACATGGTAACAAGAAAATCATTTCTGGTATCATGAGGACTCCACCTGGTGATCAAAACCTCCTTTCGTCTTCTTTGATGGAGGGGGAGAAAGGAGGCTCTGCCTTAAACGCGTCAAACCTTTGAGGTCGCCGCAGCCCTTCGTATTTTACTGCCTTACAAGACATCAATAATCTCAAAACTTAAGGGTAATACAAAACGAAGGTTAATCTCGAGACTCTGAAAATTTAAAAAAATCCATCGAGCGGTTTCAAAATTATTCGCTTATTTGTTTAAGCAGACCAAAATGTTTACCAAACAGCTAAATAGGGCACCTCAGCACATACTTATCAAATCCTTC